TGGGTGTTCATTGGAAGGTCTGATGCTGAAGCTGAAACTCCAATACTTTGGTCACCTGATGCAAAGAGCTGACTCATTTGAAAAGACCCTGATGCTGGGAAAGATTGAGGGCAGGAGGAGAAGGGGACCACAGAGAACGAGATGGTTGGATGGCATCACTGACTCGATGGGCACAAGTTTGAGTAAGTTCCGGGAGTTGGTGATGGACAGGGAGGCCTGGCGTGCTGCGGTTCATGGGGTCACAAAGAGTCAGACACAACTGAGTGACTGAACTGAACTGAACTCATATATATGACCACCTTCCCGGTTGCTCAGTGGTAAAGAATCCACCTGTCAATGCAGGAGATGTGAGTTCCATCCATGGATCTGAAAGAAACCCTGGGGAAGGAAATGGCAACCCACTCCAGTATTCTTGCCAGGAAAATCCCACGGACAGAGGAGCCTGGAAGGCTACAGTTCATGGGGCAGCAAAAGAGTTGGACAAAACTTAGACTAAACAACAACAACTCCTTCAAATATATACAAGGTACACTCCATTCACAAAGAACACATTTCCACAAAAGAAGAACACAATAAAATTTCTAACAAAATTCAAGCCACATTTTTACTGATGCTTTAGGATTGTGAAGGGTTTTTTTTGTTTTGTTTTGTTTTTGATGTATTTACTTGGCTAAGATATACTCCCTAGTTATTTAATCAAAGCCAGAATTCTAAGGTGGTTCCCAAAACCTGACCCCTGCAAGCCTTTTTTTAAAACTCCTTCCCCTTAAGGGAAGAATGAGCCTGTGAACATGATGGATTTCATTCCCATGATTATGTTGTGTCATATGGCAAAAGTGATTTTGCTGACTGTAAATTAAGGTCCTCAGTCAGCTAACTTTGAAAAAGAGTGATTAGTCTTGAGGGAGAGAAGGCAGACCTAATAAGACCTTAAAAGTATCTGGGATTGTTCTAGCCTCCTCTCCCCCCACCCCCCCCCCCCCCCCAAAATCAACATATGCAAAGGAATCAACAAGAAGAAGATTAATCTTAGCTGACTTTAAATGTGGAAGAGCTCCTGGAGCAAGCATAAAGCAACCTCTAGGAACTAAGAGAAGCCCTCATCAGACGTCCAGCAAAGAAACAGGGACCTCGGTTCTAAGGAAATTAATTTTGTTACAACCATGTGTGCTTGGAGCAAGACCCTGACCTTCTGATGAGAACACAGCCTGCAAACATCTTGATTTTAGCCTCATAAAACCGAATGGAGAATCTAGTTATACCATGACCACAGCTGTGATCTACAAAGTGGTGAGCTAATAAATGGGTGCAGTTTAAACCTGCTGCATTTGTGGTTGTTTTCACATGCACTAGAAAACCAACACAAGGATCTCAAAATGCCTTCACGTCAACGTTAGGAACATAACATATTTCCTGTTGATTATAACGGAAATGGCAACTTTTCTAAACTTGAACAGACCTTTTAAAACAAAACCCTAAGAGCTTACTCAGAAAAAAGTAAAAATTTAAGCTTGTAAGTTTTTGTATCACTATACTATAAACACAAATATGAGTAACACATTGCACAACCATTATTATGTACATTTAGTAATTTGGTTGTTTACAAGATGTTTTCATAGCAACCAAATACAGTGGTAGTAAACATACTGGTTTTAATGAAAGACAAAACTAGGTTAAAATCCTGGCTATGACACTGAATTTGAACAAGTACTCTAAATCTCCCTTACTTCATGTGTTAAATGGTAAGACTGATAACTAACTCCCAGAGTTCTCAAATTCAAGACACAATAAACATAAACTACTTGGTATGTGCCCTTATAAATGTAAGATTATTTTCCTGTGGCACTGTACTATCACTTCCCTGAAATCGGGGATTACGCCTTAGTCATCACTGAATGCACTGTTCCCAGCACACTGCCCAGCACATAGTAGGTGCTCAATAAATCTCTGGTTAAGTGAGCAAGACTTTGATGAAATGGTCCCCACTTAGCAGGTAAAAACAGAGGGCTTGACAGGTTGACTTTCTTATCCAAATTTTCTTAAACTAGAAAATAAAAATGTATTTAAAGAGCTTTCTAAATTCAAGTTCTGTGCTCTGTCCATGGTACCATACTATACATAGGCACCAGAGGTATATAATATATACACACACACATATATAAAAGATTTTATATATATATGACAGATAGTATTTCTAAAATAGTATACTTGAAAGAATGGCACAAAGAATGGCCACCTGTAATTCACATTCTACTAAGTAGAATTCTCTATGACACAATTTCAGTTCCTCATCTATGTCTGAAAAATTGGTTTCTATTGCCTAAATCCCCAATGTCCATATGATGGGCAAGTTCCATGATCACAATACATTTGTATTCCACTGTAACAGTCCTGCTCCAACTAACTTTTTGTTGGAAGAAGGGTTCTTTTTTTTCCCCCAGTAAAAAATGGATGCAAAACAATGATATGACAACAGCAGGTTCCAACAAGGATATGAAGAAACGAGATCACTCATATGCTGCTGATGGGAATGTCAAATGGACCAACCACTCTGGAAAACAGTTCGACCGTTCCCTTAAAAACTAAGCGTACACATGCAAACAACCAAATAATCTGTACTTATTCAGAGAGATGAACACTATATCCACCTACGAAACCTCCACATGATTAATTGACTGCAACTCCAGTTGTAACAGCCAAAACCTGGAAACACTCAAGACATCCTAAAACAGGTGCGCCGTTAAACTAGCTGCGACATACCCACACCACGGAATTAACCTATGCCCGTACCATGGAATTTTACTCAGCCAAGAAAAAAGAGAGAAAGAGAACAAACTACTGATACAGGCAACAACCTGGTTAGATCCCAAGGGTACTGTGCTGACTGAAAAAGAGCCAGTCTCAAAAGATCACATACTGTATGATTCCATTTACATAACAGGGCTAAAATGACAAAACTACAGACAAGGGGAACAAGTTAGTATTTGCCAGGTTAGCGTGAGGGAGAGCTTTGTGCTAATGAAATAGTTCTACGTCCTGACTGCAGTGGCAGTTACCCAAATACACATATCACAAAATGAAAAAGAAATATACATACATTGTACCACTGTCAACTTCCCAGTTTTGTTTTGTTTTTTTAACAGTTACACAAGATGTAAGCATTAGGAGTAACTGAGCAAAGAGTACACAGTACCCAGCACTGTTCGGTTTTATTTTTGTGAATCTTTTATTTCTGTGAACTTCCTGTGAATCTATAGTTATTCCAAAAAATGAAAAATGAGTGCAAAGCCAAATGTCTGAGACCTCTGGTAGAATTTTCTACATTCTCTACGATGAAACAATACTTCCTCATTTGAATGGTCCCAAAGTAAACATAGTTCATATTTTTATAGGGTACTTTGAAAATAAAGAAAAATAAAACAATCACAAACACACAAAATTATAAACTTTCTCTTCATCTCCAGATGCTGGTATTCCTTTCCCATTCATCTTCATTCCATCTTCTGGCCTTTCAAGTCTCATATCTTGAGATTACCTCTCAGTGGCCTAGACAACTACCAAACGATTGATCCCTATGTCTTGTTTTTTCATTCCAATGAAACTGTACATTTCTTCAGAAAAAACTTCAACTAGATATTAGATTATGCAATTCCAGATTTGACCCCCTGTTGAAAGGTATGCTTTAAAATAAACAAAACTATTAAAAAAAAAAGCTCTTCAGCCTAAATTAGTACAAATTAATACAAGTTACAATGTACGCGATATTTCTGAGCAGAAAAGCCTTCCAGATTCTGCTAGCCTACTCTAAGCCACCTCTCAGCCTCTCCTCGTGGCGCAAGAATCCCTCTCACAACCGCAGGCCAGCTTCACGACTTGACACCATCCCTCATAAAACGAACATCCCAAGAAGACGATTCACACCTGTAAAGCAATTCAGTTCACACAGCGCTTGTACACAGGGACCCCATTTGGTGCTCCTCAGACTGTTAGGATAAGACATAAAGGCAGGAATCTATCTTCATCCCAGGGGATATAACCCAGATCTGCTGATTTCCTAATACGAAGCAATGTCAAAGTATTCTATCACCCCAAGCACCTCATTCCCAGTGTGGTAACAGGCATTTATTCATGGTAAATGCAAGAACAGAGGCAAAGAGTGGATCCAATGGAACCGATCTGAGTCCACAAAAAGAGCAGGTTCTCAAAGTATGGTCTAATCCTGAGATCAGTAATATAGCTAGCAATTCTAAATAGAGATTTCAAAACAGTAAGCTGAAATGTACCTCTGTGTGGCTGAGGAACTTAGCTGGCACTGCAAGGAACAGGAAAGAAATGAAAACTTTTTACTCAGCTAACTTTACTGCTTTATGCAACTCAGCAACTCAGAAAGGGCAGGATCATTCGACTATAATCAAAGCTGAATTTAAATATATCAAACTGAATCCCTAGCTCTCCCACATCTTGGCCAAGGTTGGGGGTGGGGTGTGGACACCACCAAAACAAGGTTAAACCCAGGAAATCTCAAGGAATCAGCTATGATAACACGATTTTTAATATTCTTATTCTCCTAATCTGTTCTTTCCAGAGGAAGCATGTTTAGGATTTGGCAACCCTTGATCAAAGTGTAAGGTTAAAAAAAAAGGTGAAATAATTGGGGAAAAGGCTCGAAACTCAATCACGTGAAAGAAAGTACTTCTGACGGCAGCAAACGGCAGTGCAGAGGGGATGAGCCCTGGCTGCTCCCTGCAAGTGCCAGCGGTCCTCAGACCTAAAGTTTGAGGACCGCTCAACGCACAGACTATCAACCACTAGAGATTTATTGAGAAAAGCAGAAGAGCAAATAAGATAAAACTCATGATCTTAGTGCTGCTAGACACTCCAACAGTTAGTGTTAATAGAAAGCTTTCTGATTCAAGGAAGTTCCTAGCCCCATTCTACCCCCCTTTAACAGGATCATGTTGCTGCAGAAGAAATAACAGGAAAACTTACAGAAGACTTACCAACACGATATTTGAGTTCTATGATGGTTTCCCCTTCTCTGCTCAACTCCGTTACTTCGCAAGTGTAGTTTCCTGAGACGGCATCACTCTTGTCCATCTTCAAAGAGGCGATGCCGCGCAGTAATTCTGACGGTGTGATTTTTGCGCTAGGAAAGTAATTGCTGGACTTGGACATCCGCTGACTCCCATCAAAGATGAAAATGTTTTCTCCTTTAAACTTCCATCTGACATACAATTCAGTGATGTTCTTCGTCTCCACATTATTAACAAAACATGGGATGACAACGGTGTGATTGCAAACAGTATATTCTACAGATTTGATTACATTAAATATTAGTTGAGCTGAACCTGGAAAAGAGAAATAAAATTGTTACATTTCATTGCAGAATACTATGAAAACTTAGGTATGTTACAAATTCTTAAGATAAAGAGAACTGCTTCTATTGTTCACTTAAGCAAGCAAGCAACTATAGAGAAAATGGGTGAAGAGAACAAATTATTTTAATATTAATGTGCACAGCTGATAGACAACACTGTACCTCTTCTTTATTCATTCCCACTAACACAAAATATACATTCTCCTGCATCCCGGGAATAAACTCAGCAACTGAGTTAGAACATGCAGATGTAATATCTGGCTTTGGAAACTCTGAAGCTTGTGTCTTCTGATATTTAAAGAAAAATACTGTCTTTACTATGAGAAAATTTTTAAATTGAAAGTAAAACCAAATAATGTATTCAGTCTCAACTTCTATACACTTTCTCCAAATAGAACCTGCTAAACTGATAGGAAGTTTATTTCTATCCCTAGGTTGCATTTCCAAAAAAGGTAGCAGGCTCTACTGTACTTAAATATAAAAAATAAATCACATGAATCACATCACATCTTTCCACTAGGATGGTAAGCCTTAGAATGCTAAGGATAAAAAAAAAAAAAAGTTCTCTACAGCTATTTTCCCACTGCAAAATACAGACAGCAACAGACATTCGGTACGCAAGTATCATAAAAGGATTATACACAATTGAATGGCATTTTCTCACTCCCACATTTCACTGAAACTAAAGAACAACTTCCAAATATATATTACAGGCATCCCTTCCTTCTAGAAACCATAAACCACCCAAAACAATGCTAAGGTGCAAGCTGAAACCAAGAGCAGATACTACTACTAAGTTGCATGTATCCAATCAACTCTTTTCAATAGTATAAACTACTGGTTGTTGCCTTATAAAAGAGGTTGAGAAACGGGTCCTCTTTCATGTGGAATGTGCAAAAATGTGGACAAACTGTAGTTGTCCTCCATATTCTTCAGCCATTTATCACTTCTTTCCTGTAAGCAGTGAGCTGGTGTTTCCTTTAAAAAAAGGATTGACAGATATAAATAAAACCTTGGGTTTAATCGTTCATCTTTAAGATTTTTCCTCTATCAGGGACACAGGATGTTATTACTCTAGGGACATAATTACTCTTCAATAAATGCCCACTGAATTGAATGCTGGGCTGCAGCATGGAATATGAACTGAACAATGTTCAGAAGCCTGAGAACAAATCTTGTCTCTGTCTGTCACTTTTCAGGGTACAAGCTTAAGCAATTCGCTTAACTTTCTACGCCTTGGTTTACTCTCTGTAAGTAAGAGGATCAAAAAATGAACAGAATTGTGCATGCTAAGTCGCTTCAGTCATGTCCGACTCTCTGTGACCCTATGGACTGTAGCTTGCCAAGGCTCCTATGTCCATGGGATTCTCCAGGCCAGAATCCTGGAGTGGGTTGCCACGCCCTTCTCCAGGGGATCTTCCTGACTCAGAGACTGAACCTGCATCTCTTGCGTCTCCTGCAATGGCATGCAGGTTCTTTACTACTAGCGCCACCTGGGAAGCCCCTCACAGAATTGTGGTTGGCATCAATGGAGAAAACATATTGGTAAGTGCTCTATACTGTGCTATAAATATGTAAGGTCATACTATAAAAACTAGGCACTCCAGCATCTTAATGTAATGCTCTGGACCTTCTCTGACCGGCAGGTCTATAAATTGTTACATTTCTGGGAGCTGCAGTCTAAATCAACCCTGTGGTCATCCACAGCTCACCTTCCCCCAGTTCTCTCCATTTCTAGCCACCTAAATATCAGGAAGCTCCAGGCAAAACCTGGACTTCCAACTGCATTCTTCAAAACGCTGGAGTTATGAATTACTTCCCCTGAGAAATATAGTCTCCACTGGGTGGTGGTTATGATGCTGGAGTTAGAAAGGAAGGAAAATGTCAGAAACTATGGTCAACAATTTTGAAATGGACTAAAAGATTACCGGGAGTCCTTTCAACGGGGTGCTGGGCCTTATCGGACAGATCCGTTTGGAATAACTCTATAGCAGCCTGGGCCCCTTGCCAAGACTACGCTGTTTTTACAGCTTTGTAAGATGTAGAAAACTGATGGTAATGCAAACGATTCATAGCCATAGAGATACAAACAAACTTTGTTCTGCGGTTGATTTGGACCTGTGGGAAAAGAGGAATTTTTTTTTTTAATTACATTTTAGGGACTTCCCTGGCAGTCCAGTGGTTAAGACAGTGCTTCCACTGCAGGCGGTATGGGTTTGATCCCTGGTTGGAGAACTAAGATCCTACGTGCCACACAGCATGGCCAAAAAACAGAAAAAGATTTTATTGCCCTGAGGACACTGACCAACTTTGCATCTATCCACAGATTTATTTCACCATTCCTGACTGCCTATATGTACATGTGTCTATTCTTCCAATTCTCTCTTTTTTAAAATTAACATTTATTTGGCTGCATTGGGTCCTTAGCCACAGCATGCAGGATCTTTAATTGTGGCATGCAAATTCCCAGTTGTGACATATGGGATCTAGTTCCCTGACCAGAGACCAAACCTGGGCCCCCTGCACTGGGAGTGCAGAGTCTTAGCCACTGGACCGCCAGGGGAGTCCCTTCCAGTTCTCTTTTAAAACCAAGATGGCTGTACCATCTTGTTGGTTTGCTTGTTAATTAACGTGTGAAATAAAAACTTTGACACATGAGCATTTCGTATTTGCTCGAGTCAAACTATACCTCCTAAAAATCATCCTTTAATTAAAGAGATACAAGTGAAGAGCTAAGTTACCTCAGCAGACTTTTTTAGAAGCCTCCAAGTGAGTACAAAGTGGTCAGCAAGCACACAGTGACCTTATAACTTGTGTTTAGAAAATGAATTTTCTAAAGAATACAGAAAGCACTGATTCCACTGCAGTATTTGTTTCAATATTAATACAGCCATTTTTATAGCTGAAGCAATTTAAGTTGAATAAATGCTGTCAATAAAATTCAAAGTGAAATTGACCTGGATCAACTGTAACTTGAATAACCCTTGCACTAACAATTAGTAAATACAGTCCAAAAATGTTGTTTCATCAGCTGTTAACTACAACTTCACCCTCTATAAACATTTGTTAAACAGCTATTAAGCAGTAAAATTATTTGATTTGGTTTTTCTCTATTTTGCCTACTGCCTTCTGATGAAACAGCAAAGTTAAGAAAGGATCTAAAATATACAGAGCAAATAAAGGATCACATAGATAATTATCATGAATAAGTAAATTCTGAATAATCAAGAAATGCCCACAGCAGTCTAATCAGATAGGAATTGATAAGTATAACCATCCATGATGCCTGAGTCACAGATAAATTAACAAATGAAATGGAAAAATTAACTTATATCAAATGCCAAAAATATTGGAACTTACAACTTTTGTGAATACAGACTACCAGCTCAAACCATCTCACCTGATCTGAAACACTTAACAGGAGGTGTGGATACAATAATGAAAAAAATGTAGGAATCCTCTTTAAAAATCTTAAAAATTCTCACCTGGGGGACTGATGAAAGTGAAAGTGAAAGTCGCTCAGTCGTGTCCGACTCTTTGTGACCCCATGGACTATACAGACCATGGAATTCTCCAGGCCAGAATACTGGAGTGGGTAGCCGTTCCCTTTTCCAGTGGATCTTCCCAACCCAGGTCTCCTGCATTGCAGGCGGATTCTTTACCAGCTGAGCCAGCAGGGAAGCCCTGGGAGACTGATACATGCTTTTATAACCCAAGGTCGCAAGTGCTTTCTTTCCTATAGGAACAACGTGCTGTGGATGGGCAAGACAGTGATCAGTCTTTAGACATCTAGGAAAATGTTTGTTGCTACTACAGGAAAAACAGAAGACTATCACAGACTCTGCCCATTTATTTAGGCCTTCACTCTTTCACCTTTTCACATGTTCCATGGAAAATTTCTCTCCTTTAGAACAACTCTGAAAATACTCTCCTTTTGTAAGAGCTTACCCAATACTCTCCAAAGGAGCCCTCCCTTCCTATTACTTCAAACTGGTTCCTCCAGATAAGAAACCAGAAGCTTCCAACACTTCCCCCTAGACATTCTCCTGCTGCCCCACCTATCCACACCTCTCTTCCCCTCACTGCTTCCTCTTCAGAAATGAACTCCTTCACTTGAGAGCTAGTTTCTGTTTCCATCTCCACACTCATCAATATCAAGGGCTTCCCCTAGTTGCTTGCCATTCTCTGACATCCCCCAAGTTCATTTACAATAGGTTTAAAAAAATTTTTTTTAATATTTGAATATTAGCCAACTGGGGGGAAAAAAAATCCCTTGTACTTGTCTCTCTCTTTCCTAGCATCTAGAAAGATAATCTGAATGCATTTCTTCACCTCTTACCTCCTACATCCCTGCTACCTGGCCTCCACCTTGCCCTCTTCATTGCAACGGCTCTTGCCAAAGTCGCCAAGCATCCCGTGAACATGGAATGCATGTGGCTCACTCTCCATCTTGACTTCTCTACAGTTCTTGAGCCTGTGGGGAGCTCTTTTCTTGTCTCCTGGCTTCTGTATCTCTGAATTTCCTCCTAGTGCTTTCTCCAACTCATCGCAGCTTGCTTGCTTTACTGAAACCTATTCCTTGACTCGCAATACACATTAGGTTGCTAAGGACTTCCTACCCTGACCCTCACCCCTCCCCACTCCAGTATTCTCCCTTACCGCAGGTATTAACTTCCCACACATCTTATTTAACTAGGTTCCACCTTTCTCCTTAGCTGCAGAGCTTGGGAAGCCAACAATGTGCTATGCGTTTCCCCTTGGATGTACTACAGCTACTTCAGAATCAACATGAACAAAAATCTACCTTCTGCCTACGTTCATCCCAGGCTGTCACCTCCCTAAAGTGCTTTTCATTATCTACCAGTCAACCAGACCTAGACCTAACAATCATGCGAGATTCCGCCCTCTCCTCAGCCAGGCGAGTTCTGGGTGGGCTCGACCTATGTAACTGTTCCTAAATCCAAGGTCTGC